CCAGGCTGGGGATTCGAACCCGCCACCTTAGGTGTATGTGGCTGGCGCCTTAGCCGCTTGAGCCACAGGTGCCGAGCCCCGGTTCCCATTTCTAATGCTTGATGTGAAACGAGTGCTAGCAACGATTTGGGAAATAAAGACACAAATCACAAATTAAGACCGTGTATCTTCCCACATCCTATGAGTTGAGTGAAATCCCACATGGGGCTGGTGTCCCACTGAGCCAGTTTCTGGAAAATAACATGAAGAACTAGCCTGCCTCTTGGGCTTACTTTGAGGAAGCGCCGATAACCTCGCACAGCTGTCTCAGGCAGCGGGTGTGAGCGCAGGAAGCGCAGGTACAAGGGCCAGATGCGAGAGTGCTGCGTGATGGGCAGTGCCCGGAGGGCACGGTCGAAGGTGCGGCGGGTGTGCGTGACACGCCCCTGGTCCATCAGGAACTGGCAATAATCGAGCCATAGACGGGGCATCTAGAAGTATAGGGAGAGGCAGCTAGGTCTGAATTGTGGGCTCTATGGCCCAGACACAGATATTAGATGTCCCATGGATGAGCCACTCCTGGGACTTCCGGTTAAAAGAGGACCTGGAACCCCTAACTCCTACCCTTCCCATGCTTGTCTAGGCCCCCTGGTCTGGCCCACCTCTGTGGACTGAGCCCCATTTCCCCTCTCATCCCCTCGCCCAGCCTCCACCTTGTGCATGAACACAAAGGCCCTCTCGTGGCAGTTGTTGACATCTTCATAGGCAGGGTCAGTCACACAGCGATGCTTCACCTGTGCCCGGCGTGCCTTCAGGTAGCGGTACCAGAGTTTATAGCTAGGGAATAGGACAGAATAGACACTGATTGGTCAGCTTAATGAACCCCCCAGAACCATTTGCCTTGTCCTCTAGTAGACAGGGCAGCTGGAGCGGTTCCTACCTGCAAGGCAGGAGCTTGAGTGCCCGCTCATACAGCTGATTGAGCCTAGGCTTTGGGGCACCCTGTTTGAATTCGATGTAGCGGAGCCAGCATTTGACAGAGAACTGGTTCCGCATGATTTCCTCCTCATAGGGGAGGTCCTCTTCCTCCTGCAGGGACCAAGGAATGGGAGAGAAGAGAAACCTAGGCTCAGAGCCTGAGGGCAGCACTATCCTGCTACTTTGACTCTGGACCAAACTCCAGACTTCTGCCTGGATCCCACATTGCACTCCCCAACATGGAAGCAGCGTCACCAGACACCAAGACACTACGTCAGACCTTTACCCCTCAGAATGCAACTGCCCACAATCATACCCTGATCATTAGACTTCTCAGTCATTATTACAGTTCCAGGCCAGACATGAGTCTGTACCACATGATTATTACACCTGTAATCCCCAGCCCCCAGGTCAAGGATTGATACTGGTCCATGGCCTGTTAGGAACTGGGCTTCACTGGGCTTCAAAGGAGTCTCGGAGCCTGTAGTTCAAGCAGCTAGGGCTCCAGCCACATATACTGGAGCTGGGGGTTGGAATCCAGTCCCGGCCGTACCAAACAACGACAACTACAACCAAAAAATAACCGGGTGTTGTGGCGGGCACCCGTAGTCCCAGCTACTTGGGAGGCTGAGGCAAGAGTATCGCTTAAGCCCAAGAGTTGGAGGTTGCTGTAAGCTGTGATGCCATGGCACTCTCTACCCAGGGCGACAGCTTGAGACTTGGTCTCAAAAAAAAAAAAAAATGCCTCTTCCTAGACACTAGGCCTTTGGCCCCTTGGGCTCTCAATAACACCACCTAACCCATCTCCACCTTAGGCCCACATGACCAGAACTTTACCTCAGTTACCAGGGCTCTCAGGTCCAGATAACAAGCCACTGGCCTATCAGGATCCCATTGGCCAGAATCTAGCTCAATTCTGCCCCAGAACTTCGAAAACAGGCCTTTATCTCAGAAGGAAAGTAACATACCAGATACCATGCCTTTAACTCTATTCTTAACCTCGACAGCAGCTCTTTACTCAGTCCGTCAGATGCGACACCAGATCTTTACCCCTGGCCACTCAAGTGTGGACATCATGATCCAGCTTCTGGCCAGTTAAGAGTTCCCCACCCCTTAGCCTGGAAGAGTTGTAACCTAAGTAACCTAGATGACCTGGCTACGATCCCATGCTGCTTCCAGGTTTCAATGCCTTCACACAGGCCACTCCCAGCCCCGCCACAGACTCACGAAGACAAGGTCCGGCCGCTCGGCCCGCGAGAACCGCGCCATCACCACCATTTTCGTGGCTCTCGGAGTATAGGCGAGTGTCGCGGAATTATGATGTCTAGGAATAAAGGCCCGCCTCTCCGGCCATAGTTGTTTCTTATTGGCTGAATCCTTCCTACTGCCCGGCCCACGCTACTGACTCTTTTAGATGTCCCCTGCAAACGGAAGCAGAGAACAGACGACGGAAGATTATGTCAGCCTAGAGGTCATTGACCAATCAGCATTAGCGGTGGATTCCGCGAAACACCAATGAGCTGCTATCTTGCTGGAGGGCCGACTTTGGGCGGAAGTAGCTTTGTAGACCTGGAGAAGCAAGATGGGTGTGAAACTGGAGGTGTTTCGGGTCAGTGAACCCAGGAATGCGTGCACTGGGAGGCTGGACAGGGTATCTTCGTGGATCTGAGGAAGAGACTGTGAATAGCGGGGAACTCTAAAGAGAAGGGCGTTCCTGGAAGAGAACTTTTGATATTTGAGAGGGACCTTTACAGTTGGAAACCCAGAGAAGGGGTTTTGCGTTGGGAGGTCTCGGAGTGAGGTTTCTGGGTTTGGGTGCTCAGGGACTGAAGAAGGGCCCCTGAGAAGGTGAGCCGATGAGGAGCTCTTAGAAGAAAGCCTTCCGATCCTGGGGAAGCTCTCCAGTGCATAGAGTGTGTGTTTGGGTGTCTTAGACAGGAAGGCTCCAGGACTTAGGGGAGTAGACTTGAAGAATAAGACCTCCTGGGTTTGGGGGGGGATCTGGTTATGGGAGGTGGGTAATAAGGTCTCGAGGAAGTGTATTAATTGTGGTAGGTGTTCTTGTGCTGCTAGGGTGTGCTGTGTATGTGTGTCTTTCCTTGAGAGAGACTTCCAGTTCCAAGGGTCTTTCAGGAATAAGACCTCTTGGATTTGGAACGCTAGGTTTTAAGGTATGCGGCTCTGTACCCTTAGTGGGAGTTCTGGGGTGTTCTCGGGATCTCCAGGAGGATGAGTTCCCCCCAAGCAATGAGCAGTCTCTGCACATTGTTGGTGTTGGGGTAATCCCTGGCTCTGTTCACCTATCCTCTGCCTTTCCAGATGGCACTCTACCTCACTTTCCCTGTGACTATGTTCTGGATTTCCAATCAGGCTGAGTGGTTTGAGGACTACGTCATACTGCGCAAGGTGGGTATAAAGAATGTTCACAGGTTCATTCCAGGGAGAGGGGTAAGGGGTAGGGAACCAATCTGCTGAGTACCAATGTCTGCCTCCCATGAGCTGATCCTGTCCTGAGTGTGGGGCTCTGGAGGCTCCTGGCTCATTCCCCCAGCTGTGACTTTGTCTCCACAGAGGGAGCTGTGGCCACCTGAGAAGGAGGGCCAGGTAAGTGATATACTTTTCTTCCCACTAGCTGAATGGAGGAAGCTGGATTCCTGTGGCTGCAGGGAATTTCAAATGAAACTTTTACCCTTAGCCATGAATAGGAAACTGATCATAGGCCTTAGCATAGGGCTTCCAGTGTAGACACAACTCAGAAGCTACGTCCTTGGGGAATAAGGGCCAGGGTGGTGGGAGAGGGGTCCAGTCCCTGAGGTGTGTGCCCCCTCCTTCCTTCCTTTCCCACCCCCTTCCTCACTACCAGCATCAAGAGATAGAAGAATTCAAAGAGAGGATACGGAAGCAGCAGGAGGAGAAGCTCCTTCACGCTGTCCAGCAGAACTCCTGAGCCCTCCAAGTGCTTGAGACCTAGCTCCCTTCCATTCCTCATGAAATAACACATACTCAGTTTCTTTTTACTCATGGAAATGTTTTATTGTCTGCTTTCAGGGACCTCATGGGGCCCAGAATGGCTCAGGCCCTCAGGGGGCTTGTGTCTGGGGCTGGGGGCTGCTGTTACGACGGAAGCTGAGAGTGTTCGGGTCCTGAGGAGTGAGCAGGGGTTGGGGGCTGAGAGTCCCAGCTCGTTTCTGCACTCCGTCCTGTGAATGTTGAGAGGGGTCAGCCAGGCCAGGGGTGACATGTTACAGAGAGGGTACAGATGTGGACCCATGCCCCACATTTGTCTGCTAACTTTCATTACCCACTATTTTGGATGACATTTGGATGTGAGATCCAAGGATGTGAGCCTTGGAGCTTTTGTTGGAGTCTTGATCAGAACCCAAGCTGCGTATGAGTATGTGTGATATTAGTACGTATGAGGATGCAAATGTGTTCGTCTCATTTGTGAGCTCATGTCTCCTCTCTGGGTGTATTTTCCCAGGAATGGGTGCTATTCTCTCCCTTCCATCTTCCCAAAATGTTGGCAGGAGTCATGTGTTCCAGCCTCAGCTCTGAGACTGGCATGGCCCCTGCAAGACCTCGGGCCCCTCCCATCCAAAGTGTGGGTAGGTGATGGACAGAAATGGCGGGCTCCATTTACTCCTGGCTGGGATGGGAGGCGGGATTAGAGCATGGTCTGGTGGATCATGCTCAGGAGTGGCAGAACATCACCTACCTTGGGGCCCAGGGGCTGGAAGCCAGGCAGGTTGCTGACTGTTACACGCTGGTCATCCATGCGGCGACCCTGAGTACTGGCCAGCATGTCCATGAGGCTGTCCATCTCACGTGTGGGGCCACTCTCTGCATGGAGCAGAGGCACTTGGTGGATACATATGCAGACATGAGAAAACACAGCCCACCTGGGGCCCCCATCCCCACCCCTTCACCTCCACTCATGTCCTCCAGGATGCATATCATCTCCCTCACCCTGTGCCTGCAGGGGTCCCCCAGACAGGCCCTCACCCTGTACCCCAGCACTTCTGCCCTGCTGCCCCGGACAGCACCCTCATGCCCACCCTCACGGTTCTCGGTGGTCTGGCCTGGCCCGGCCTGTAGTGAACAGCGCTGTGCCTCAATCCGGTCACCTTGCACGTGGCTCAGCAGGTTGAAGAAGCCCTCCTGGTCCGGGGAGCCTTCCTGGGGACAGACTTACTTAGTCTAATTGGCTCTTCAGCTTGAGGCCCCCTCCACTCCCCTCCCAGCCTGCCAGTCTCCATCTGGCCCCTGAGCTCTCACCATGGTGCCAATCTGCTCAGTAGAGCTGCTCCAAATGAGGCATGAGTCTCCTTCCCAGTCCCGCCCCCCCAGGCTCTGGCCAGCCGTGCCACCTCACGTGGTACAGCCCCACAGGACAAGCTGTGGGGCCAGCGTCCTGCTGTTCTATATTGGGGCCTGCTGGGCAAGTGGCCTAGGAGCAGGGACATGTATCAGAGAAATGGCCAGGGGCCTCCCCCAAGTCCCAGCATCCTTCATCCTCCAGAGTCAGCACCTAGAGCCCTATCCTCAACCCTGGGGCCAGGGCTGGCCACATAGACACTCAAGCCTACCAGCACCTTATTATGGTGGCAACTGGGTCAGGGGGTCCTAGGAGACTAGCTTGCTAATTAGGTGCCCTACAAACAGATTCATCTTGTCAATCATGGGCTCTGGTACCTCGAAGAGCTGGGGGGTGGGGCAGGGCCCTCTTACCTTGGTGAAGAGGGCTGAGCCCCCCTCCTCTGCCTTCTCTTGTTCCATCATTGCCTTTGGAGTTTGTCTACTTTCCTGCTGGCCTCTGTCCCAGCCTTGTGCCACAGAGGGCCTTTTAAATGACCAGGATGTGGGGGTGTGGATCCATCCCCCACCCCAAATCCCCAGCTCATGCTCCATCTGCTCCCACCCAAGCTTAAGCCCCATAAAGATGATCCAGATAATTGTTTGGCCACAGTTTTGCTAGATCTGGTGTGGGGGTAGGGGGGCAGGGTGACCTTTAGACCTTGCTGGGCCCAGCAGCAATGAGAAGGCCTCAATAACTCTCAGGTGGTTTGTCACAGGAAGCAGAACAATGTCCCTATGGTTGGAAAAGATAGTCAGCAGGGTAGAGCAGTGGCCTGTTTGGGTGGGTTCTGCAGTTCACGGGGTGGGGGGGGGACCAGTGCAGGGTGCCCCCATCCTAGCTACCTGGGTCCCCCCCTCCCCCGTTTCTGTGGCCTCCTGCTGGAAGGGTACTTGCCACCTGCAGTGGGCAGGGGAAGAGGAAGATCAGGCCTGGGACCCCTCCCTCCCTCACACTCTGGGGGTCACCACTGGTCGATCCTAGCACCAGCTCTGTCTTGGCAGCAATTCAAGGTGTTTCCCTGCCACCCTTCCCTCTACTCACTGTCCCTGGGGTCTAGTTGTCCACTCCAGGCCCTAAGATGAGAAATTCCAAGATCTCTGTTTCTGAGCCACCCAAATACCAAGTTGAGCTATCTCTGATCATCACCCCAGCCCTGTGTGGGAACAAGAGTTGAGACTCCTGGGGAGGGAAGAGAGGAGGGCCTTGTCCCCTCCCCTGAGCTGCTGTGGCTTTCCTTCAGTGCCTAGGAGAGAATGCCACAGGAGGTCCTATCCGCTCAAGATGTCTTTCTTGAAACCAGTCAGAAGGTTCTAATAAACTGGTTAGGCTGCATTCTCACCAGCCCTGCCGAGGCTCCTCTACCCCACAAAGACCCAAGTTCACACCCTCTCCCTCCATGTCAAGGAGATGTCCTTTTCCTCATCAGATGTTTCCATTTTCTGGTGCTGCTGGAACAAAGTACCACAAACTACATGGCTTTTTTTTTTTTTTTTTTTTTTT